TAATTGTTTACATACAACAACATATTAAATTTAATAAATTAAGTATAATATATTAAAAGTTAAAGAAATAACTTTATAAGTAGAAGTAAAAGATATTATTTTAACATTGAAACTTACTTTATTTATGATTACACTTTAGGTTTGATATTTATTTAACCTTATTAACCAACTTATAATCATTATTAGAAAGACACTACAATTTATCACTTTTAACTATTTACAAAATATTCTTTGTGTTGTATAAGTTAAACTAAAATTTATATTTTAGTTGACCCTTTAATGTTATATTTAAATTAATAATTTAAGTATTTTATTCAAAATGTTCAAAAGTTGTAGTTTTAAAATGATAATGGTTTACATCCAACAATATATTAAAACTAATAAATTAATATGTAAAAGTTAAAAAAAACATAACTTTATAAGTAGAAGTAAATATATTTTTTTAATATTGAAATTTAGTTTATATATGAGTACATTTTAGGTTTGATATTTATTTAACCTTATTAACCAACTTATAATCATTATTAGAAAGAAATTGAAAAATTATGGAAGTTTCAAATGAATGTGGTGAAAGAAAAAATGCATGGGAGTTTCAAATGAATGTGGTGAAAGAAAAAATGTTTGAATATTCGCGCGTTGCGCAGAATACAACAATATATTTGAAATCTATATAAATTTTTTTTAATATATCAATGACGTTGTTGTTAGCTCTTATATAATAAATCTTATAATATGTTGATATAAACATTGTTTGTTTTGAATTATATGATAATGTAGAGATCTTTTAAAATTCTATAATTTCAATTGTCCCAATGGCTTATACCTGCAAGTTACTCATGAATAAAATTAAATACAATATATGGTTTACTGATATTTATAGTTGTTGTTATGATATGTTAATTTTAAAAAGTTTATTTGCTAAAGATTTTAATTTCTATTATTTTAATTATTTAAAACGTCAAACATTATTTTCGTGTTTAAAGGTTAAAGTATAACTTTTGTGTATAGTGTTACTTTTAACTATTGTTGTTGTAAGTTATTTTAAATAATGTATTTGAAAACTCTTAAATATTTTAATTTGGTTTCAGAAATTTAACTTTTTTAAAATTTATTTGATGACTATTTTTAGTTTCTTTGATTGTAATTATTTAAAACGACACACATTGTTTTTGTTTTTAAAAAAATCATTATAATTTTTTAGATAATATTACTTTTAACTATTCTTATTGTATGTTGTATTTAAGCTGCTTATTTGAAAATTTTTAATGATTATAAAAAATACTTTCATGGTTTTTTTGTTAGTTTAGGATTACAATTTAAATTTAACACTATAATTTATAACTTTTAACTATTTATAGAATAGTCTATCGATTTTTTTCAGTTTAACTAAAATTTTGATTTAAGTTAATTGTTTAACATTATATTGAATTTAATAATTTAACTATACTGCATAAAATCATAAATTATACAAAAGTTGTGACTTTCAAATGGCAATTGTTCACTTGTAACAACATATCTAAACTAATAAGTTAAATATAGTATTTTAAAAAATTATAGTCATAATTTTATAAATAGAAGTAAAATATAATATTTTAATATTGTAGTTTAGTTAATTTATGATTAAAATGTAGTTTTTGCATTAATTTAACATTATTAACCAATTTATAACAATTATTAGAAAGAAATTGAAAGGTCATGAATGTTTCTAATGTATGTGGTGCAAGTAAAAATGTCTCATTTATATAAATTCAAAATATATGTTGTTTAAATATAAAAATGTCAATGTTAACTTTGATATAATAATTCTTATACTAATTTAGTATAAAATAATGATTATTTTGAATTATATGATCATATTAAATCTATTAAAAATATATAGTCTTAATCGTCTCAATGGACTCTATCAGCATGTTACTCATAAATAAAATTAAATAGAGTATATAATTTATGTTATTTATAGTTGTTGTTATGATTAATTAGTTTAAAAAAATAGATTTTAAAAACTACATTTGATTAACTTTTTAATTTTTATTAATGTAGTTATTTAAAATATCAAACATTGTTTTTGTTTTTAAAGGTAACAATATTATTTTTAACTATTATCATTGTACATTATTTGTAAGATACTTATTTAGAATTTATGAATGTTTATAAAAATAGTTTTAGGAAATATTTTAATTGATTTGGGATTACAATTTAGTTTTTACGTTTAACACTATAATTTATAAATTATAACTATTTACAAAATAATCATTGGATTTTCTTTAAGCTTTATTGAAATTTCCATTTAAGTTAATACTTAAACACTACATTTTAATTAAGAATTTAAGTATTTTATACAAATTATTCAAAAGTTATGACTTTAAGCTAATAATTTAAGAAATAACATATCAAAACAAAGTATAAGTAAAATATGTTAATTTAATACTAAAGTTTAGTTAATTATAGGATTACAATTAGCGTTTTACACCTATTTAATATTATTAACCAATATATAATCATTATTAGAAAGAAATTAAAAGGTAACGAGAGTTTCAAATACATGCGGTAAAAAGAAAAATATATCTTTCAGGTTTACATGGAAAATTTAAAATATTCACAACTTTTAGTTAGTTACTTTTTTGAAGCGGTACAAAACAAACGATAATATTTAACGTATCTAATTAAATATTATCCACATCACAATATATAATATATGATCGATAATATCTATATGATCTAATATATATTAACGATTAAAGCACCACATACAACAATTGTATTAAAAGAATCCAAAACCAAGAATAATATAAAAATAATTAGTATATAACAAACTTACAAATTGAAAGCTATAACATAATAATATATCTCTAAAAGTGGCATAAGACCTCAAACCAACACAAAAATCTTTAAGCTTGTTTTCTTTATGAAGTTTGTATGTGATTTGTATGCATGTCTACCCAAAATATTGATATTTTTATAGTAAACATTTCATTAAGTGCTTATTAAACAAAATATAAGTTATAAAACCTTTGAGTGTTAAATCATTATTAAGAAGACTTTTGAAACATCCCAAAAACACAGTCTGAAAATTTCGTTTTAAATTAGTAATAAACCATATTCATCGAACGTCATATAAGAATCATAAACAATGTATCTCAAAATATCTTAACAACTGTCAAATATATCAGAGTATAAACATCCCAGGCTGAACAAATGGTGTGTGCACTGCAATCTTCCCGAGCTCCTCTTTTGAAAACTGAGTACCTGAAACCAAAACTGAAAACCGTAAGCACGAAGCTTACTGAGCTCCCCCAAACTACCACATACCATACAATAACATATAAAGCATCTACTGGGCCTTGCCCACTGCATCGGACCGAAGTCCGGAAACTGCATCGGACCGAAGTCCGGAACTAACCAGGGCATTGCCCTCTGCATCGGACCGAAGTCCGGAACTAACCAGGGCCTTGCCCTCTGCATCGGACCGAAGTCCGGAAACTGCATCGGACCGAAGTCCGGAACTAACCAGGGCCTTGCCCTCTGCATCGGACCGAAGTCCGAAAACTGCATCGGACCGAAGTCCGGAACTGACTGAACATAACATAGAATAATCACAACTACTGGCATAAACACATATACTGCATACTGCATCGAACCGAAGTCCGGAACACATAACACAAAGACATGCTTGAATCACAGAGACATCAAGCACACTAAACTACTGCATCGAACCGAAGTCCGGAACTACTGCTAACTAAACGGGTCGACATTGTGGCCATAGACTCGTTCCTACTGGAAGGAAACTCACCTCACACTGCTGAAGTCCCGTAGACACAATCTCATACTGCTGAAGTCCCGCAGACTCAACCTTAGCTGCTGGATGACAGATTCCCGAACTGTCAACACCAAAATAACACCCAATTAATAATTGGGCTCTAACACATAACTATAAATACATACTTTGGGTAATTACTACATTACCCCTAGCTTGGCTTACCCAAGCCCAAGGCCCAATCCATAGGCCCAAAGTCAACTAGGCTTAAAAGCCCAACATATGGCCCAACTTTCCAAACTGGGCCCAAACCTCTACATGGACTTCCCTGAAGGCCCAACATGTCTCATTCTAAGGGCCCAATATCATACAACCATCTAGGCCCAAACTATGGCCCATCAATGGCCCAATTTTCCAAATTGGGCCCAATCCTTCATATGGGCCTTACCCTAAAGCACAATTAATTACTCTAGTACATTTGATTATTCTTGGATGGCCCAACACAAAGCCCAATTGAATATTAGGGTTTTCTCACTTAGTCCATTAAGGACTTAATCCATTAAGTCCTTTCCTCTACTAGATAATTGACATGAAGAAATTGGGCTTAATACACAATCCAATCTCAATGGCCCAAAAGTGGGTCCAATAAGTCCAAGGCCCAAATACTTGCAATTAGGGTTTTCTAAACCCTAATTAGGATTTTTTACCCAAACATGGCCCAATAGGCCCAAAACTAATCCTTAAGCCCATTAGGGTTTTGCTAGGCCAATTAGGGTTTGCTTGAGGGGCACCACCCACTACCACCTCGGGTAGTGGTGGTCCATGGCGGCTCGCGGCGGCGGCCACCACCTTACGGTGGTGGTTTGAGTCTCTTTTCATTATTCATCTTGCTAATTACAATTACACTGCTTTAATTCAAAATAACCACACACTCACTAACTAACATGCACACGCACACAGCCACCCTAGTGGTGGCCGGAGGTGGTAGAGGGTGGCAGCCACCACCTCACGGTGGTGGTGGTGGCTTTTTCTCAATTTTCTGGCCAAACGGAACTACATACATCACACACACCAAAACAAAATATCTCAACACACAACTAAACACATAGCAGCGCACGCATAAAGCCCACCTTCCATGGTGGCTGGCGGCGACGGGAAGGTGGCAGCAGACGGCGGATAGAGGCGGCAGTGGCTCCTTGTCTTCAACAGCCCCTGGCAACGGGGATGGCGGCTAGGGTTTGTGATCTCAACTAGCGAACGGCAGCAATGCAACAGCGGGTCGCCCAATCTCTACAACTTCATCACGTCGGAGCAGCAACCTTTGTCTTCGTCGGCATCTAGGCAACAGCGGCGACGTCACAATGGCTAGAAGGTGGCGTTCGAGGAGCCCACGACTGTGAGCAGCGAGAAACGGCGGCATGAAAGCTTCTAAGGTGGCGGCTGTAACAGAAGAAGAAGAAGAAATGTCGTATGACATAAACTTCGTCGCCCGCTTGGTCGTCATCGGCGAAGAAGATGCAGCGGTTTGTGGCGGCGGCTAGGGAGGAAATGGTGGCTTGTTAGATTGGATAGGCACGAGAGGATAGGGTGGCGGCCGATTTCACTCATGGCGGCTAGAAAACTCTTAGGTTTAGGGTTACCAGGTGCGACGGGAGGAATACACTGGTTATATACCCAACTCTCAAACATAATTCCATAACAACATGAATAGTCCCTCCTTCCCCCATTCCTTACAAAGTAAATCCAATATTTACGATTCAAACCCTGAATATTAAAATCCATTACAACTTAAGTACGGAATTTACCAAACAGCCCCCTATCTTCCATAATCTCTTCAGATGAAGTCCCATAAATTACCATTTAGTCCCTGCCTTCATAAATACTTACAAAACTAATCTGAATCTTTATACCTTTAACCCTCAACTTCTAGAATTCTTCACAAATTAGTCTGGGACTTATATTTCTTAATTTTTTTAAGTAAACGGGGCGTTACAACTTTTGAGTTGTATTGGTTAAAAGATGGAGGTTTCAAATGAATGTGGTTTGAGCAAAAATGATTCTATATAGTCTTGGGAGTTTCAAATGCATGAGGTTCAAGGAAAAATGTTAGCTTTATAAGATACTAGGCGTAACCTCGCGCGTTGCGCAAGAATGCATTTAAGTGGTTAAATAATTATGGGAAAAAATATAAATATGTTGAAATTTACGTTTTTAGTCATGTTTTGGGCATTAACCGAATTATCAAATAACATAAAAATCTATCAACTTATATTTTGATACTATCTAATATAGTCCATACCTTATAAACTTTACTTTTACTTTATAATATCCAATATATATTATAAGTTTTTGTATAACACTAATATAATCTACTTTTCTTATGTCCGATAATATTTTTTGGATAAAATAAGAAATAAGTTATTTTGAATGAGCTATTAATAAACAATATTGAACTAATAAACTTTGTATTACACTATTTATATTACACCAAAACATCCAAGGTTTCATATATGAACTTTCAAATATTAAATATTGAAATTAAGAATGAAGTCATACAAAATATATCATTATACATAAATGTCATCAAGAGTTTTAAAATAAGTCGATTAGTAAATATGATACTTAATTTTAATTACATATTTTGCAAGGCGTATGTTTGACTTTATGTTGGTGCGCCGAGAATCGTCTTCCTTAATTTGTACCTAAAAAAATAAGGTGAATAGGAATATAAAATAGATATTACTAAGCATTAATATAAATAATTAAAAAGGATATGTGGATCTCCTACCACCGGTTAAAGACAACATACCACTCTAGTGGTATCAATTCCTATATGAAATTGAAGTAGTCATTCTATGTACACCTTGTTTTCTAATTACATAAACAAATATGAGTAACCAAACATAAAAATGTCATCTTTATGTAGGAAAAATATTTTAGTTAACTAAAAATTTAAATAATATAAGTTTAAGAGTTAGGAGTTTCAAAACATTAATATTTTATTAATCAATCAATTAAATAACACATGTTGAAATTTTTACAATCATTATTAAAAAGCATTTGAAATATTAGATTTTAAATGAATTTTGGTTGAAGAGTTTTGACCTCTATTATATATATATATATATATATATATATATATATATATATATATATATATATATATATATAGAGAGAGAGAGAGAGAGAGAGAGAAAGAGAGATGGAAAGTATAACATATGTATGAGTTTTAATTAATTATCTTTTTGAAACAGTAAAATTACAAAACAAAAAACACATATTTAAAATATTTAATTAAATATTTTCGACATCACCCTATATAACATATGGTCAATATATTAATGATTAAACCATAATATACAACGATTGTATTACAATAATCCAAAAACGAAGAAAATATAAAAACGAATTAGTATAACAAACTTACAAATTAAAAACTTTAATATAATAGCATATCTCCAAAAGTGGGCATAAGACCTCAACCCAACACAAAAACCTTTAAGTTTGTTTTCTTTTTGAAATTTGTATATGATTTGTATGCATGTCTTCCCAAAAGATTGGCCTTTTTTATAGTAAAATTTTCACTAAATACTAATTAAACATAATATAAGTTATAAAACTTTTGAGTGTTCAATAATAATTAAGAAAACTTTTTAGTTGCATTAGTTAAAAAATGGGGTTTCAAATGAACGTGGTTTGAGGAAGTTAAAAAAAAGGGGTTTCAAATGTATGAGATTCAAGAAAAAATGCTAGCTTTATAAGTATATATATATATATATATATATATATATATATATATATATATATATATATATATATATAATCTCTATTATTTTGAACAATAATATTCATTGACATCAACCCACATTCCTCATTAATAGAATTAAATATAATTATCTATTTAGTATTATTTTTAACAATTATTATTATTGATTAATTATATTTTTACTTATGCGATCATTTTCTAATTTCAATAATGATGTTCATTTAAAATACAATTTATTTATAGCTAAATGTAATTTATAATTTGATGTTATTATCATTTAAAATTGTTATTCATTAGTTTTAAACCACTTATTATTAATAATAAGTTAAAGAAGACTTTTAAGAAACACTTAATATTATTATTAAAATGTGAAACATACACTAAATAATAAAGTGATAAGATAGACAATTTGCATTTCAAAAGAGACTTGCATGGATAATATGACATATCCATGTAATTTGATTTTATTATTTATAATTATTGCTTATTAATTTTAAAACCACTTGTTATTATTAATAAGTGAAAGAAACTTTTAAAAAACACTTATTGTTATAATTAAAATGTTAAACATATACTAATATATAAAGTGATAAGATAGACAATTTGCATTTTAAAAAAGTCTTACATGGATAATATGGATAATATGACATATCCATGATTTTTAATTAATTATTGTTTTGAAGCAACATGAACATACAAACATGTATACAATAGTTAACTAAATATTTTATATATCATCTTCCATAACATATGATCGATAACATGAATCTAATCTAGTTTACATTAAAATTTCAACCACAACATACAATGGTATTCTTAAAAGAATACTTAAATCAAGAAAACACAAAAAAGAATTAGTATATAACAAACTTACAAATTAAAAACTTCAACATAATAACATGACTCGAAAAATTGTTCAAAGCCCTCAAATCAACACAAAAAACTTTAAACTTGTTTTCTTTGTGAATTTTGTATGTGATTTGTATTTGTGTGTCTACTCAAAAAGATTGACATTTTTATAGTAGAGTATCCATTAATTTTTTATTAAATATATTATATAAGTTATAAAACCTTTGAATTGTTAATCATTATTAAGAGACTTTTGAGTGGTATTCATTAAAATAGGAGGTTTCAAATGCATGGGGTGTTTGCAAATTTTTATGGGGGTTTCAAATGCATGAGGTTCAAGGAAAAATGCTAGCTTTATAAGTATGTATGACTAGGCGAATACCCGCGCATTGCGCAGAATACAACAATATATTTCAAATTTTTACAAATATATGTTTTTTAAATATATCAATGACATTTTTATTAGCTTTTATATAATAAATCTTATAATAAGTTGGTATAAACATTGTTTGTTTCAATTATATGATAATGTAGATATCTTTTAAAATTATATAATCCTAAGTGTTTTAATGACGTCTACCTACAGGTTACTTATAAATAAAATTAAATATAAGATATGATTTAATGATATTTATAGTTGTTGTTATGATTAATTAATTTTAAAAAGTTTATTTGCTTAAGATTTTAATTTCTATCATTGTAATTATTTAAAACATCAAACATTGTTTTTGTTTTTAAAGACTACAATATAATTTTTGTATATAGTTTTACTTTTAACTATTGTTGTTGTATAGACATTATTTAAAATAACATATTTCGAAACTCTTAATTATTTTAATTTGGTTTCAAAAATTTAAACACGTTTTTAAAATTTATTTGATGAATATTGTTAGTTTCTATGATTGTAGTTATTTAAAACAAAAAATATTATTTTTGTTTTTAAAGAAAATATTATAGTTTTTTATATACTATCAATTTTAACTATTCTTATTATAATTTATTTTTAAGTTATTTATTTGAAAATTGTTAATGATTATAAAAAACAGTTTCATGGTTTTTTTTTGTTAATTTAGGATTACAATTTAATTTAACACTATAATTTATAATCTTTAACTTTTTTATAAACAGTCTCTCGAATTTTTTCAAGTTTAACTGAAATTTTGATTTAAGTTGATTGTTTAATATTATATTGAAATTAATAATTTAACTAATATGCATCAACTCATAAATTATACAAATGTCGTGACTTTAAAATGATAATTGTTCACATACGACAACATATTTAAGCTAATAAGTTAACTATAATATGTTAAAAAGTTAAAGTCATAATTTTATAAATAGAAATATAATATGAGATTTTAATAATGTAGTTTAGTCAATCGTTTGAATGACTTCTACCTGTGAGTTACACATTAATAAAATTAAATATAATATATGGTTTAATGTCATTTATAATTGTTGTTATTGTTAATTAAAATTTACTTGCTTAATGTTTTAATTTATATTATTATAATTTTTTAAAACATCAAACATTGTTTTTTTTATTTTAACGGTAACAATATAATCATTTATATAGAGTTATTTTTAACTATTTTTATTGTAAGTTATTTTAAGCTACTAATTTGAAAACTTTTAACGATTATAAAAATATCTTTAGGAAATATTTTAGTTAAATTGAGATTACAATTTAGTTTTTGCATTTATCACTACAATTTATCACTTTTAACTATTTACAAAATATTCTTTGGTTTTTTAAGTGGAACTGAAATTTATATTTAAGTTGATACAGTAATGTTATATTTAAATTAATAATTTAAGTATTTTGTCCAAACTGTTCAAAAGTTGTAGCTTTAAACTGATAATAGTTTACATACAACAACATTTTAAAT